TTTTTATATAACGCGAAATTGTCTGTAATTCTCAGGATAGACATTTTACATATGTTGCTCGGTCAGGACTAGCCTATTAATAAGTAAAACTCTGCCCCGGCCCGTTAAATACTTTTGCACAAATTTCCGTCCATAACACTTTTAATATCTGTCTTATTTAAATCTAATAATTTATTTTCAATTAGTATTAGTCAAGCTTGAAATTCAAAAAAATATATATATAAATTTTGATGCCATAGCTAGCTTATTAAAATTTTATCAAATATCAGAGATTTCCGAGTCTCTGCCTAAAATTTATACACTCCGGGCGGAAAATATTTTGTACGAATTTTGCTATCCACAACCAATATAAATTAATTGTTGAAATCACAATATCATCGAGGATTATGATTTGAAGCTCTTCTTGATACTTAAAATTATTGAAATTTTACAAGAAATCAGACATTTATTTACGAAACCCTAACTGATATTTTAAATATAAATTTTCCGACTAGGTGTAAATCTGATCATTGAGACAGATTAGAAATATTTTAAAAAATCGAAACTAAATATTATATTCCCAATTCGATAAAGAAATTGAAAAGGCAACTACTAAGGAAAATCAAAATAAGGGAAAAACCAAGAGAAATAAATTGAGAGCTTTGTGATTTATTCACAAGATATTTTGGTATAAAATCGATTTAATAAAATATTATTACCGAACCAAACATTGTATTTTATAATAAACAAAAAAAAGTTATTTTAACACCAGCAAAAAGGATCAAAGGCGCCAACAATATATTAAAAATAAACGTTATACATCATCTTCTTGATCATAAATAGATTTATCTTATAAATAAAAGATTTCCAATTTTATTCGATTCATCATATTTCATATTACAACAATGCTTTTTTCTAGATTATGAATCTTTTCATTCGTTTTGGAAATAAACCTGTTGAGATGTCAATTTAACAAAACTAAATAGTTGGGTAGAAAATGTAGTCTGATGTGGACTCTTTCAGCAACGTTGCTATTTATAGCCATTATGGGCTTGTGTAAGGATTTAAAATGTTAACGTGAGCATGGGACGATTCTCATTCCGTCCTTGAATCGAATTCTTCAAAAAAAAAAGAATGGAAAAATGGGTAACAAAAAAAAATAATGTGCCTAAAATCTTTTGCAAAATAAGAATCATTTACTCATACATTTTTATAATTAATACCATGATTTTTAAATGGAAGAAATGAGAATGATATTAATAGAAATAGGATAAGTAATATGGCGACCGCCTCCACAATATTTTATAAGCCCATTAAAATAAATATAATCGCTGCTTAACTATTCTTAAAAAAATTATTCTCCGGGTTCTCGGTGGGGACCTAAAATTCAAGACAGGACAAACATTTGACTTTCATTTTTAATCTCTTTAAAAAAAATGTTCGTTGTAATCTTTTAACAACACTTGCACTGATTCCTAAAATGGACATTTTGGGTGATTACGAATGTAATCTTAAATAAAATAAAGGTTCCATTTTTGAAAATTTCTAAAAAGTAAGAATATTACTTATTTATCCTCGAAAATTTGTAAAACAATATTGATAGAGATGCCAGGGAAGCATTTCAATTAAGTTTTTTTATATCACTAAAATGCGAGAATTTTATTTCTGTCAATATTTTTTCGAGATTTACGAGAAAATATAAAAAATATTTCCAGTTTTGAGCGATTTTAGTTCTCGCGATTTAGAACTTATCCCGAAACGAATGTGATGTTTAAAAAATAATTATTTCTTTTAATGTTTGAAGAACGTTTATTCCTAACTCCTAACGAAATTATTTATTCCATTTTTTAATAGATTAATATAATTCATAAAATTATGCGTTTAGAATTTTTAAAAATAAAGAATAAAAATTTAGTTTTTTTATTATTCCAAACCGCATATTTCATATTAATTATCCAAAAATATATCGATTTAAATTATTTAGAGGAATGAAAAAGTTTCGAAAGTAGTAATAATTTAAAAATCTAGCATATAATTGGTTAGTCGGGGTTATTTGGCCACTGTGATTGCGATCAAAGAATAATATCAACTACCTTAACCCTATCAAAAATTTCACAATGGCAAAAAACCCTTTTTCTATTATAAATTCAAATAGGAAGGGAGATAGCGATGCCATTTGCTAATATATTTTGGGTTCAAAATCGTTCCTAATAATGCATTGTATAAGAAACCATAAAAAAAATACAATGGTGTATTATGTATTCAATATCAAAAAAGGATAAGAAATGAAATACAAATATACTAGGAAGTTTAAAGGTAGTATCCATAAAAACAAAGATCACGGTGAACAGATTTAGGTGGTATGGACATAAGATGAAAAGGACTAAAAACTATATAGGAAACGAGGTTAAGAGTCTAGAGTGATGGGTAAACGAAAGAAAGGAAGGCCAAAACTCCAATGGACAAACAAACTTAAAGCCAATATCAGAAAATATAATATAAAATGGAAAGAGATATTGAAGGAGTTTACAACTCGAAAAGGTTAAAGCTGAAAAGAAAAAAAAATATGGATTTTAAATTAAGTCCAAGTTAGAAAATCCCAAACTCAAAGTTCTATCATAACAAAAAGTATCCCGGGCACCTTATCATTCTACAAAAAAAAAATTGGTTTCTTAATATATAGTAAAGAGCAGATATTAGAAAAGAAACCATAGTGAACCTAGCTCTTATAACTGGAGAAGGGGGGGGGGGTTGCTATTTGTCAAATTAAAAACCATTATATATTTTTTCTTTCAATTGTAATTTCACTTAGCTCTCCCTTCATTTTCTTTTTAAAAATATTTATATATCATTCTAAATGTATCAATTTGTTTGCAACATGTTAGATAAAACAGTATATTTATATAAAATATTTAAATTGAAAAATTATATATTTTTTAATTTTTCTAGTCAGAATGTTAGTTATATTTTATTTTAAATTGTATACTATGTAATTTTTTAATACTATTTTTTAATATGTAATTAAAAAGAGGGGGTGAACGAATTTAACAAATATTGCTGATACTATTTTAGCAGTGTGTTTTGCTCTATATGCTTAGGGGAGGGCATAGATAACATTGACTCAATGAACAACATTTTATAGCCACCGAAACCATCTAAATAAAAGATTTTCGATCATTCCTAAATTAGACATAATTTACTAGAATAAATCATTTTTTGTTTACTTTAAAGATAATAAAAATATTTTTTCAAATGGTTACTTTTATAATATTATATGAAATACGAATAACAAAAAAACATCTTCATTTAAATTTATTACATCAGAAAATAATAACGTAAAGAAAAACATGATTTTAAATAAAATTGTGGTTTCTTTTAAAAAAAATATTTCACACGGAATATTACGTTATAAGAAATGTTAGGTAAATATTAATATCCCTTTTATAATAAAGACAAATTTATTTTAAATGATAGTTTTCATTACGTAAGTGTTTGGCAAACATAATTGAGTTTTATAAAGAAAAGGAAACACTTTCGAAATCTAAACAATGTTAAATAAAGAGGTCACTAGATACATGGAATGTTATGATAAGGAAAATATTCAATGGAGTTATAAAACTAAGCATAAAACGAGATAAAGTGGTTATATACTACCGAAGAAAACTTTTGTTAACTGATTTAAGAATCCATTCCATGAAAGTGGAAAACCTTAGGAAGGATACAAGTTGTTCTTATTTTGTTTCCTTTTATAAATGGCATATTACAATTATTAACATTTAACAACTTCACCGGCCATAAATAATACTAACTTATTTTTATTTTAATTAAAATGGATTAAGAAATCTACTTTTTAATTAAATTTTTTATAGTGAACAATAATTAATAAAAAATAAATCTTAATCAAATTATATAAATCATTATTAAAAGGCGTTAAAAGGGGAAAAAAATGAGAATTTTAAAAATTTTATAATATTGTTATAATCGTACATTATAAATCAAATTTATAAAAGATCTGATATGAGTTTAGTTTGTACATCTTGGGTTAGGGATAAGAAAATCTTGATTATGAAAAATGAGAAATTAAGTTATCATTATCAAGATTTCGCTTATATTATGTTATTTATCGTCTGTATACTCTGTATTGTGTTGATTAAATTTATTTTTCACATAATGTTCCAGATTGATGAAAGTTTGTAGTTTAGTCATATTGAATAAAAGTAATTCGTATAGAGAACTGAGAGAAAGTATGGTCACCATTTACAGGTAAAATCACTATATTAAAATGCGAGAAAGACTAAATTCCAAGGACTTTTATTTAAAAATTAAGATAGTGAGTGGCCCTCCATCTCCTAATAAAATTTATTATTTCCTTAAAAAATATTTTGAAGAAATGAATGTCATAAAAGAGATAAACTATCATATATAGATTACTTGTATTAATAAGTTAAATTTGGGTTTTATATTTTTTTTATTATTCGTCGATCGTCCAATAATTAAGTTTCACAACATTTTATAGGAAAAACGTCGCATTTTCGTTGTTTCTTTTACTAACAAAAATCCCCACTTCACCTCAATCATTTTATTTTTATCTATATTATTTTATATATGAAAAAAATAAGTTTTTTTTCCCTTAAAATGACAAAAATTAGGCATTCAATTAATATTTTTTTAATAGAAGAGTTTTGCGAAAATTTCAAGATATAATATATAAAATTCACGCAATCCTTTAAATTTTTTACAATTTTATATATAATATTATACACATAGGTTTTGTGCAAACATTATCCACTTGATCTAAATCTATAATTTTTTTTCTTTTTGAAAGTGATCGATTTTATATTGTTTTTTTTGAAAAAATCAGTTATAAATTATAACGCAATTTATTTATTAAAGTGAATAAAAAAGGATATAAATTAATTTCAAAAAGAAAATAAGGTAACAAAAAATATTCTTTCAAGAGAGAATAAATAAAAATTAATAATTATAATTTGGTATAAAAGTTTTTATAAAAAAACACTTACTCCTCTGTTAGTTTCTGATGGATCTGAATTCGGTCTGTAATGGACCCAGTTAAGGTTAGATTCTTTTGTCGTGTCCAAAAGGGTAACTAAAAAATATATGAAAAAAAAAATAAATATTTTTTATCATTGCTTAAATTAAATTAAGATATGTTGAGCACCATTTTACCCACTCCCTAGAAACGCCCTGATCGTGCAATATATGTAATGTTGTTAAACAGCTGAATTTTTAACAACGGCCAATATTTTAGCTAAAAAATGTTATGCAGCTTAGGATTTCGTTACTATCCAAACCTTTCTTCCATCTATGACCAAAATCTCCATTTGCGTAATATTTATGAAATTATTAGCCGTTTTTAAATATCGAGCCTAACAACACTAAATATATGAATGTGAATAAACCTATAAAATATATAGTAAAAGTACAGATGGGGTATTAAACACTCTAAAGTCACGGGTCAGTTTTAAAAATTTTCACAAAATTTTGGTTTAAAAGGGAAATAAGATGATTATGAGGGGTTGTCAGGCAAGAAAATTTGAATTATAGTCTAAATTATTATTTACATACATATTTTATCTATAATTTTATAAATTATTTTGGCTTGTTAATTGCTGCAAGAATTATCTAAAAATATTATAAACTAAAAAATGATTTTGTATCTGCTACTGAGGATTGTAATAATACACCCTTAAATTTAGCTTGTTTATGATGCTAGGCTAATAGAACTTTAAAATAAATATACTGATAAAAAGGTAAATATAAATATTTTATAAAAATCTGTTAAATTTTTTATATCCATATTTATTGATTGCGTTGAAGTGTTTAATTTTTATTTGAATTCGATGACTAATTCATTGAAAAACCTAGAAAAGGAGAACTTATTGATCTCAAAATAATGACCTTCCTTTGATAAACCGAAGAGGAGAATAATCTAACACAAATTAGACTTTTCTGTTTATAAATTTTTAATTATTTATTTATATTTAAAAAAATTTATTTTTGAATAAAAAAAGTGGGTTATAATGGTAGATTTATGGAAATTTTAAAATTGAGATAGATATTAGGGAAGTGTGATCAATTTGGTATGTATCTTTTTTTAAAAAAAAATTGTGCTAGGCTCCCTTTTGTGGGAGACATAGCAAACTGAGCACCCCAAAAAGTAAAGAGCCTCAATTTTCAATTATAAAAGTTTGGTTCAGTCATTTTAATAATTTGATAACAAAGGTTCGGTTATAAGAAGAATAATCAAGTATAATCGATGCTTCAAATAATTACTATTATCCTTTTTTGAAGGTATTTCGTCGATACGATAGTAAAATAGAAATTGATATATCTATTAAATGAGTATATAAATTTTATTACCGCTTTAGTAAGAAAACTTTCCTACGTAAAGCAAAACAAATTTTCTTTACCTTTATTACTCATGTAATCCCCAAACCATATTGGATTAATGATGCAATGAACTTGTTAATATATTATATTACATAAAAAATCTTAATAAATCTTTACCATATTTTTATTGAGGTTATGATGGGATTATGTTAGACATGATTTTATATTATATTCTTTCAAATAAAAGATATGTGTATTGATTGCATAAGAGTTGAATTTGTAAGTAAGTATTCAACATTATGCCGATGAATTAAAAAAAGTTAAAAAAATAGGATTACAGATGCCCACAAAATTATTTATATTAATATCTTTGGAGAACAAAAATCCAACGTAGGTATATATTATAGAAACATAAAGAAAATTGATTGTTTGACTTTGATGTTTATAATTTGTGTTTAAATTTACTATTAATATCTATCTTGAATATACTTTCATAGACATAAATTTTTTTTTGATATTACATATTACAACACATCTAGAATATGTTATAACTTAAGCAAAAAAACAATACATATAATTTTCAAAAATAAACCAAAATCTAAGAGAAAAGATAATTAATTATATAGATAAATCTAAAAAATATATTACTCATCATTGTACATTTTTGTATAAATGGGAAAATTCTATTTAAAAACACTGATATTGATATATATACAATATATAATATACATATTCCCCCCTCTCTTTGTATAGATGATGACCGTATGAGATGGATAATTACAAAAAATTTATATCTACAAATAAATGACATATCAATAGATGAAATGAAACAAAAAAATAAAATCATTGTTCAATTTGAGACATAAAAGAGGACACAGGACAGGGAGCCTGACAATTATCCTTCCAAACAAAAAAAGGAGCTTTTCTCTGATTGAAAATAAGAATTTTTTAAAATGTCAAAATTTTAATTTTATAAAAAGGTTAAGAAAAAAAATATATATAGATCGCCAATGGTTGGACATCAAATTGAAGGCTTTAAATATTTTTTTAAAAAAGGTTTCAAATATTATTACAATTACACAAACAATATTAAATACCTTTATTTATTGTTATTTTTCTTATCGCTAATTTTTAATCTTCACCGTTCTTACTGTATATAAAAAAATTTTATTCCTTTTTTTAATTAGTGGAAAATAAAAGATAACATTTTATGGTCAATATTTAATGTTTGGTGGTAAAAAAAAAATTAAAATCATTTAATAAAAAACTTAATTTTTTATAAAACAAAACTTAGCCGGAAAAATAAGTGGACTATTATACCCATCACCTTTTGCAACGGAATTTCAGGAGACCTAATTTTTTTATTTCGATTTTATAATTTAGAAAATAAATCAAGTGTGTGTTGCATAAACTATTTCTAATTATTAAGATCTTGTTAAAATGAGGACTTAAAGGTAAAATTAAACAAATGGCATTTTGAATATAAAGATTAGGAATTTATTTGATAAATTACAATTAAAAAAAAGCTTTAAAAAACATTGATTTTTATAATAATTTTGTACAAAAAAAACCATGCTACAAGTTTATATAAATTATTTATGAGGAAGAGGGATGGTTTTATAACGATTTTAATTTTTGATTTTTGTAACATGAAAATATAATTGAAATAATAAGATATAATAGGGTTTATATAAAATTAAATTTCGCGTAAAAAAAGAATAAACTTTTTGAATATAAAATAATCCCATATTTTATTTTAACAGTATAATTTAATGAAATTTTTTAAACTAAAAAATATCGTTAATTAAATATTTTGGATTACTAAGGGGAAGGGGGGGGGGGGAATTCAAATGACCCCATAAAATTCTAAAACAAATTATTTACAAGTAGTGAACTTTATAGTGTTAACTAGCCAATGATATTTTAATATGATTGGTTCATATAGCATGTTTACTATATTATTCCAACATTTGTCATGAATTTATATAAGCAATATATTCTCCTCAAATTGGGTGGTTTAAAATATTTTTTAGGACGTTTGCATGGGCTGATAACAAAGGATGGGAAAAGTAGAATAGAGTTCTGCAATAAGTAGATTTTTAACCCGAAAGCCACCCATCTATTAAAAAGCCACCCCTCACGCCAACCTACTTATAATTTTTTAATAAATTCACCCACCCGTTAATTTATTTAGTTAAATATTATTTGATTGGTTGGTAACTCTCTATTTATTCCATTATATTTTTACAAATCTAAAATCCAGATCTGAACCCTAGCAAATATCGCTTTAGGTTTAGGTAAAAATAATAATATCTTTTTGGTTACAACTTTTATTCAGTTTAAACCTTAACACATGATAACTTATTTGAATTATATAAAGTGAAGCACATTTTTATCCCTTAAAATGTATTGAGTTGTATACAATTAAAATATTTCTGTCAAATTATGTCTATAAGAGAATAAAGTAAATAGCTTTAAAACGGTTATGATATAAAAGGATTCAGTTCACAGATCTTTTTAGAGATTCGGTTTAGGTTCGGGTGACAAATTTTTTACATTTAAGGTTTAATTAAGGTTTTATAAATAATAACGGTTAATACCTGTTCGATTTAGTTCAATCCCATATTAAATATGCAATATTATGGAAATTTTTTATAATACATATAAGCACATTCTGCTCATTTCGCCCGAAACCACAAGCATCTTTATTTGACAAAATTTATATCAATAATCTTACATCCGAGAGGCTCAATTTATCTACTAAAAATGGAGGATTACTTGGTTAAATAAATATCAAGAAATTATGTTCTCGTTTGATTTTGATAAATAGATAAATTTAAAACGATATGGAAAATGGAAAAAAAAGAATATTAAAATAAATACCACACATAAGTTTTGCGATAATCTTTTTTATATTAATATTATTGAAATGAAATATATATTCATAATATATTATTATTATATTGATGAAAGGGGAGTTCAGCCCTTATCTCTTTCCACATTGGTTCATTGTCAAACGAGTTAATGTATCATTTATAAAATAAATTTTCCTCCCCATCTTGATTTATTTTTTCTCAGCAAATCGATAATGGTTAGTTATTTCCTTTATTTAAAAAAATATTTTCGAATAATTCTATTAAATTATTTTTGGTTTTTTCTTGAAGATGATAAATGAAGGAGTATATTATTATTATGCCCATAAGTTGAATGAGCATTTAAAAAATTAAAATATATTATATTTTTTGCCCCCAGTGAGTTTAAATGAATTTTGGTAGAGGCGCTTTATTAATAGAAGCAGTTATTTAGACTCCCAAGTCAATGATTAAAATATAAAATGATCAATTATAAGATGGATAAGGACAGTGGCGTCACGCTAGACTTTATAATATCAGGGATTTTCACAATGGCCCTTTTTTAGCTAACATTTTTAAAATGAACTTGATTTTTTTATATAAATTTTAAATTATCAGGGGATTCTTCTAATTTTACAGGAGTCTCCAACCCTGTACACCTACCTTCCTTTAGTGATGCTACTGGAAGAATACTGACTATATATGTAGACTAAAGAGTGCACCTCTTTATATCAATGACAAAATCATATCTCAGGTCTATTTTTTCTCCATTTTTATTTCCTAATTTAATTTTTTTGTCGTGTGACATTTTCTAAAAAATCCTGTTTTAAGACAAACCTTATAGTGAATATTCGTTAGAGCAAACAAAAAAATTTCCACCGATTTTATCTATAGTGAGGTTTTTCTGTCTACACAAATTTAATTGAGAATTTTATTTAGTAGGGCAAGATAAGTTGTTGATGAGAATTGATTTTGCTTATTAGGGTTAAAAAAGGTAACAAAATTGCATACGAAGTTTAATTTAATACAAATTTTTTTTGGCATATTAAAATAATTATTATTTTAATAGCTTTGCTTAACATGGAAATCTCTAGTAGATGAATTAAATAAACATAAAATATATTATAAATATAATAGCGTTTAAAATTTTGTATATTGATTAAAGGTGCTTTGATTTTTAATTGTTCTTAAATTGGTAAAGGTTTATAAAATAGAATAGGCCCATTGAAGTGGTTAAGAGAGAAGTAAAATAATGCCGCATGGGCATTAATTTAATTTGAGCCCAATGGGTAAACCATTATTCCCATTTCTTTACCTGAAAATAAGGATATCCTTAAAATTTAAGGTATTTGTAAAGTTGATAATATTGAATTAATTTGTGGAAAACATAGTAAGGACATTAGTGCCACTTTTTTACAATATTATGAGGCTTAGCTTTGTAAAAAAACGGATTTTTTTAGATATTTTTATATTTTTAAAATTACTTTTTAAGGTATTTTCTAAAAAAAATTTAATTTCAGAGGGCATGAAGCTAGAGCTTTTGCGCGATCTCTTTTAGTGACGCTACTGAACTATTGGAAAAATAATGCTTAGAAATAGGAGAAATTTTGGTCGAGTTGAAGATACGGGGGAATTATTTATGGTTAGTTTTTACAGGCAGAACTATATAATGCTTTGACCGGTGAGAGGGATTAATAATTTTGGATTTGCTTTCAAAGAGTATATATATTATATTATTTTGGTTTAAACTTTATTTTTTACATAAATTTTATATTAGAAAGAGAGTCGTGTTGATTACTATACGAATTAAGCCTTCAAAATTAGTATTTTTATGATATTATAATAATAAAAATAATATTGATTTCCTTTCCGAATAATATTTATACATTGAAATATAAATATAATCTATGAATAAATATTAAGACAGACTGGATTTTTTTAGACCACAAAATTTTGAATACATAATTTAAAAAGGTTGTAAGAACATGTTCAAAAAAAAGAATATTTTGTTGGTAACTTCATTATCAGGTGTGGGCGAATGGGTTAAAAATTGTCCGGTGGGGGGGGGGGGGGGTAGAATTATTTTAAACAAGAGGCGAAGTAATTATAATATTTTTTGGGCAAAATAAAAAGAACGAGTTGGGCTTCAAACTAAACCGTAGAACTCGAACGAACTTACAATTTTCTGAGCAGTAATCGAATTATAAAGAAAATTTTAAATGAGCGAGCTGTTATAAATAGTTTGAATCGGTTTAACCCGGGCCATAGCGATTTTAAAAGATAACTAACTTTAAATTATTATCCTAAATTTGAAACTTTAATTTTCATTGGGGGGGGGGGGCTGGTGATTTAAATTCATGATTTCTTTTCAAATAAAAATTTTTTTAAACAATTAAATCGCCTATTAATCAATATTAAGTTTATTGTTTTTACTACCAGTTATAGAGATTAGGCAAATTACTAGTTATTTAGATATGAAATAATCTTAATGGTTAGATTAAATGAGGAATTATAAAAATATAAATTAAAAATTTTTTCTTTAAGATTAATATATATATGGTTTATGATTAATTTTTTAAAAATCAAATTTATAAAAAAGATCGAACCGAAAATAACCGTTGTAAATTCTAAACCGAACCGATAAATGGAAGACCCTTATAAAATTTTAAACTAAAAACCGAAAGAACCAAACAGCTATACTCAACGGTTCGAAACCCTGAGAACGAGTCTATATTTAAAAAGAATATTTTGTAAAAATTAATTATAATAAAAATAAAGTTTTCTGGTTAAAACTTCTCTAAAAATCTCTAAAGTTAATTGTTTCCTTCTGGGTAATTGCCCCACCAGCTAAAAAAAAGGGAAAAAGTAGAGCAGAATTAAATTAACTCGCGCTTAGCTTAGAAAAAAAATTTTCGGCACGCCTGTTGATTTAGTCGAATTAGCCGATTTCAAGCATTACCCAACTATTTTTCCTAAGAGTCAATGGCAGCATTGAGTGGTCTGCCAATTAGGTGTCATATCACCTTAACTTTGCTGATATTAAGATATAAAATGAACAATATTTAACCCGCTTATAAATAGTCGGTTTGGATTTTGGGATCAAATAATAAGTTTATTTATACAATGTATCTAAGTTATAATTTTAAAATTTCTAACATTATTACATATTCACACAAGTAATTTTATGGCATATAAAACATGTATTTTATTTTATTTTATTTTCATTTCATATTATATTTGAAGGACACTTTATTTTTGTAATCAAGATCAAACATAAACATAATGTAAAGGTAAAAACTAAATGGCCAAGGGTTTCCTGTTTATATATATAAAATATAGTTTACTTATTTATATATGATCATTTGATTTTTTTTTATATTGTAAAAAAGAGGATTTTAATTATACTAAATATATCAAATTGAATCTTCCTCTTTTTTTTTGAATTACGATAAAATATTTTATATATCATTAATATTTTTAATTACTAATACTTTTTCGAACATTTTTAATTGCAACTTATAATTTTTTTTAAAATTTAATAAACTATTTGGGTTGGAGGGTGAGGCCGTTAAAGTCAATATAATTATACTTTTAATTTAATTTTCGATTATTTACATTGAGTAATTATTATTTTCCATTTTTTTGCAAAATCTACAAACAATGTTTATGTTTACGAAAAATTTTTTAAATTATTGATTCTCCCATATGTGATAAAGTCATTCATTCTGCATACATTCCCTTTTTACTTGACCGAATATCTATATTCTTAAAATCATTCTTTGTATTATAATTCTATTATGGTAATAAAAATTTCAAAGGTGATCGCTCTATATATACATAATCAGCATCTCAACTAATTAAAATCTATTAATAAAAACATCTAAAATCAATAGCAAATTGCAAATAAAATGGGTTAATTTTAATTAACATTTTTAAATTTGTAGAAAAATAATATTTTTTCAAGTTATTTAAATTTATATATATATATACTAGAAATTGCTATATAATCGTTTCTCAATCAGAATATTAAAGTTTTTCCAATAAAACTACCTTGAAAAAAAAAATTCTGGGATTTAATAAAAAACGGAGAAACTGAAGCATTCGTGATTGGGGCATTTTACTTTTTAGTCTGAAATTTAGTTTAAAATAAAATTTTTATATATGCAAAGCATAAATCACATTATCTCTAGTAGTGTTGTTAAACGGCTCGTTTTGAGCCGATTTTTAAACGGCTAACTCAATATTTTAGCCAGAAAAATATTGCCTAAGCCTCAAGATTTCGATTATATATGTAAAGACCTTTGTTCCTTCTTTAAGCAAAATATTCAGGCTTACGTAATATTTTCTGGATAAAATATTGAGTTAGCCGTTTTAAAATCGGCTCAAAACGACCGTTTAACAACACTAATCTCTAGTATAGAGTACAATTTAAAAAAATTGCAATATTTACAATAATTCATATATCATGAGAGGAAAAGGCTCTAGCTTATAAATTTTTCGATTTGTAATTTCACATATTATTAGCCAATGAGTAAAAAGTTTCCTCTACTTATGTTATGGATGATGTCAGTCACCATATAAATTTTTGACGGCCTATACTGATTTTTTTTTCACTTATCTCTATTAAATTTATTATCATTTTTCATATAAAATATATGAAAGCTGAATATTCTTAATTCCTTGTACTAAAAATTGATACTAATACTATAATTAGACTTAATAGAATAAGTAAAATAGTTTTCTCCTAATTCTCTAAAAAATATACTTTTTTAAAAAAAATCCCCCCACTTCTAGTGACCCTTAAGTGAAAATTTGGTGTCATATGGACGCCATCGAATAAAATTAATTATGTATATATTAAAATAAAGAAGACATAACCAATTTAGATTTACCTTTATCAGCATGTAAATGGGACTTAGTTAATATCGAATAATACCAATGAATGTGAAAAAATAAAATCTTTTTCCACATTTTGATTTGATTTTTTTGCTAATAATCTTTATCAAAGAATAGCGTTTTCATTTTTCAGTGAAAACAGAAATATGATACTTTTTATTTTTTTATTCGGAATTTTATACATATAAAAATGAATTCCTTGTTATATTGTTTTTATTTTTCATCATGGTGTATTAAGAATTTCCTGAGAATATAATATTACAATCCCATTAATTTGATGATTGAGGATGATAGATTACAGTTATTGCCATTTTTAATCATTGATACCTATAGAAGACTTGAATTTATATAAATCGGTATAGCACAATATTATATGAATAGAATTTAATTCATTAATATGCCTGATTATTTGAAAAAAAATTTCAAATTGTGGATTTTAAGTTGTCTACCAATAACATTATTTATTTATGATTCGTTAAATTTAAGTTACGAAAAATAATTTATCATGTAAAATAAGCAGGCAATTTTTTCTAAAATAATGAATGAAAATTTTGAATATTTTCTTTATAATTTTTTAAAAAAAATTAAATATTATTATAAATTTTTTTATGTTTTATTTTTTATAAATGGTTAATTTAATATTTTTATTTGTGATGTTGATGTTGATGTTGATGTATGATACAAAATAAAATAAAATGAAATGTTTTAAAAAAGAATAATAATAAAAAATTAAAGGGGGATAAAAAAAATCGAAAATAATTATAAAAAAATAAGATAATATTTATTTGTTAAAATTATCTTTTAAAAAATTAAAAAATATATATAAGTTAAAAATTATGCCATGACTTATGGAATATTTCTTTTTGATTTGAAAATCCGATTCGATCTTTATCAACCTAATCCTTGGAAACTAATAAGTAGATGAGACTTAGGTTAGGTAAACCCCGGGGCTTGGCAAACCACTTAATCTCATTTTAAAATTAAATACACCAGAAGGTTAAAATTTTCTCCTAATATAGTTATTAGTATACATCTATTGACAAAATATATTTTAAAATAATTAATTACTAAAAATTTTATTTTTTTTGATGAAATTTTCAAAAGATTTTTACATGACAGAATTTTAATTTTTATTAAAATATATGATCATTTATATATAAATTAAATTTTATTACAAAGTTTAAACATTCTTCTATAATTTGGGTAAGTTTTATGAGTATCTATCAAATCTAGATATTATTTCAATCATGATTTGTCAATTTAGAGCTAGCGGGGTTTGCTAAACCATACACGTCAATTATAGCAATTAATAATGAAAAAAATTTCAAAATCTTGAAAAGGCAATTTCATGGCTGTTTATGATTGGTATTTAGGATTTATGCTAAGAAATCTTAATCTCTCCTTAAAATTCATATTTTTTATGTCCAAAATGTTTATTAAATTAGCCAGTTAAGTTTCAATTTTTATATATAATTATCTTCAATAAGTATTATGATATTTTGAACAATAAAACAATAAAATTATTGTATACATATTATTATTAATAAATAAAAATGCATTTCAATTTATTATGGCCTAAAAAAATCAATGGTTTAGGAAGCCCCTTGAAGTGGTTTGCCTTTACCCCGCTATTGGGGCTTGTTGAACAAAATTTTCACTTTTACAAAAAATAAAATTTAAAAAAAATAATTATATTCTTAAGATTTTTTATAAGGCACCTTTATAGGGTATAGTTTTAGGTATCCAATCATATATTATTTTTTATATTATCTATAAAACAACAAGAGCTATAGCCAATTTTGTAAAAATGGGTTCAACTAACCCCAATCTCCCCTAGTTTTATTGAAACACTTTTAAAAAATGCATATGATAAAACTTCCATAAAGTGTCACCTGAAATGAAATACAGAGGCGTATGATAAACCGGGTGGCGCGATTAGGGCCATGCCATATTTTTAAAGATACAGAAGCTAATTAACTTGTTTTTACACGGGAAGAGGGCAAACTTTTTTTATAGTGTCTTCATCCTTTTATTTACCCTTTGCTCTAATGTGATGGTTCAGGTTATATAATTTCTTTATGACAGCAAGCAAGGACCTGCATTTTTAAAATCCGGTCGGGCGCACCGTGGCGTATACTGTGATGATAATAGTATTAATATCACCATGGGTATATTCTCCTCAATAGCATCCGTGGCAGGGCTATACTATGACCTGTGATGGCTTATTACGAAAATCAATTTGGCGGGCCTTTAAAACCCCCGAATATCTTTAAGCTTTTAAAAAAATCATAAAATAACGAACTAAGTTTGATTTTTAAATTAATTTCATGAATACGTAGCTTTGAATTTGATGAATTATGTAAAATTTATGGAATATATTATAGTAAAAGTAATAATTTGTGATAAAAGACTGAATTCGGTAATATTAGGTTTTATATAATATTTATAATTACAATCGAATTGACTTTTAAATTCATAATAAACTAAAATTTGGCGACCCCTAACTATTGCCCATTCCACGTCTCTATTAGCACAGACCTGACCAGTGATACTAACTAATACCCATGGTAAAAATGGATTATTTGTCAATTCAAATATTTTTGATTATTTTAGAATTATAAAATTTAAACTATGGAGAAAGTTATACATTATTCATTGATTCAAACAAATACTTTTGAAGATAAAAGATTAGACTAAAATATATACAAATTGGCTAAGATTAAGAATTGGTGCTTTCAAAATTTAGGCAAGCTTCCAAGTTAGAAAATATATAAAATTTTTGAAAATTTCACTCGATTCAAAATAATGAGATTTAAATTATATTATTACTTCCATATCTGTTAAATAACCTATAGAACAAATATTTTAAAGATCATAGAACCATAGGATTCAAAAAATATTAGCCCCGAAAAATATTGCGTAAGCCTGAAAATTTTGCTCATAGATGGCACAAAGGATTGAATATCTATTAAAAAAATCTCAATGCTTAGGCAATATTTTTATTGCTACAATATTGAGTTATAAATTTTTTAAATCGGCTCAAATCGAGTTATTTAACAACGCTACCTAATTCTCACGTATGTTTATATTATTATTAAGGAAGATAATGTTATTTCATTGTTAGGAATACGAATGGGTAGAGTTACCAATATATATAATAATTATTTATTAGGAAAGTATTCTAAAATGTGTTTGAAATTAGGTGAAGTATCTATAGTATTTTTTGGAACATTACCAACCATATTCAAACTTTTATGCTCTAATTTTGCATTCAGCTAATAATGCATCGACTGCTTTAACATCTTCACAAAAAATTCTGTCAAATATTAATTTTCTTTTCTATCAAGATTTGAAATAGATTCAGAAAAATTATACGCTGATTAATCAAGAACCTTTCATTCATTTTAGTTATAAAAGTATCTAAGAGGAAGATAGAGAGATTTATTTTATAATGTTCTTCGAACTGCCCTTGAATTAATATTAGAACGATGGGCTTGCCTTGCTGCGAGTGGAGGTAGATAAATATAAAGTTCATAGAGCTTTGCTCTTGATATAACAATGACATATAATTTATCATATTCTTCATCAATATTTGCTCTTACTTCCTTAAGTTCCAATATAACGCTTTTAGATATTCTCATAGACTCAATCAAATCGATGCCATTTTTTGAAATATTTTACTTTGGTTTTGCAGTGAAAAAGTTTTAAATTATTTGAAAAAATACATTTATTTTTATACTTTGCATTTAAGCTGATAATAAAAAAAAATGGTTTTCAATAAATGTGATTATAGTTTAGTTAAAATATTACGACAAGAAAACATTGAGGAGCCAATAGGTTTTAAAAGGAACTTTCTAACAGAAAGGTCTCGCAGCCTTGAATTGATTGATTATAAAAATTTATGCTACCGGATCAGAAGAAAATAGTATGATGATTATAGAAGTACACTCATATAGAGCCAAGAAGATCGACATGGAACCCATAATACAATTTTCAAAGTATTCCGAGAGACTGGTATTTCGCAAATTTGACGGATCAGAAATGTTTTAAAAAGAAGCAAGTCCAGGACCTAACCAATTCAAATAAGATTGACTGTCTGGTTATTACCAAACAACTTCCACGAAAATACACTACTTCATATGGTTCATGAATGAAGAAAGCTGTTTACACTAAGTCCACCGGTAAATCTGGAAGATAGCGTACTCTGAGGTTGCAGCCATATGAGTGCTTAGTAATCATTCATAATTTTCTACATCCGTCATGGTTTCAGCTGGTAACCAATCATCTTAGTCGATCCAGGAGTCAAAATTATTGGTGTTTACTGTCATGACATTTTACTTGGTGAGCACTTATTGCCTGATATTAAAAATTTGTCGGGCAGATTATTTTTCAGAAGAAGTGCACCAGCTCACAGAGCGAGAGAGATCTGCTTCTAAGAGAGACTCCGGATTTTATTTCACCCATCTTTGCCCCCCCCCAGTAGTCCTGATCTTAATCTAGTCGACAATATATGAAGCGTTCTCAAGGTCAAGAACATGTTTATAAAACCAGCATACACGACTATGACCATCTCAAACAGAGCTTTGTGGATAAATGGAATCTTTTCGATCAAAGAATTGATCTTGCAATCAAAGAATGGTGTGATCATTATAGTGTAAGAATAAAGGGCATTTTGAACTTCATATTAATTTTAAATGTTGATGTTTTCATATTTTGTGGAATTGTTAAGTTTAACAAAAATATAAAAAATGAATTTTTACATGTCGGAAAGTTCGAATTTTATTTGTCCAACTTTGTATGTGCATAACTTTGGATCCTTTTGATAGAATTTGGCGAAGTTTACAAAAAACATTGATAATATACCCCTCTCTAATCTATAATCATCACTTTGATAAATAAACTTTACTTTTATTTTGTTTAAAAAATCTTTATAATAAAAAAAATGATAATTTTTCAAAATTATGATATATATTTTTTTAATATGGATTATAGACAAATAGAAAATATCTAAGAAATCTAACTCTTTTTTATCCCTCTTCCTACTATTTTTTAGAATTATAGTATGCATCATCAGCAAAAATGAAGAAATTACCCCTCTTGTATTT